ATTTGCCACTGATGATTCAAACGCGAGTTTTGGGCAGTAGTGAATAGGACTTGTTGTTTGTCATATCTCCGATCACAAATGCAGAAATGGTTTTATGTTTACGCGGCGCGATGCAACGCAGCGTGTAAAAAGACAGTATAAGTCATTATAATCAGTAATTATGTCCCCACTATGTCCCAACAAATGCCTCATTTGAAATGGGTTTTATTGGTTTTGTCTGGTCGATTTCCCAGGGTCCTCGGTAATTACACCCAGGTTTCTGTTCCATTGATTCCAGTTGACTTCCTCCACACTGAAAGAAAGAGGACACATGCTTCAATTATTGCTTATGGTTTCACTGAAGTGTGTTAGACAGCAAACACAGATCAATACAGGGTAAGTGTGCATTATTATGTATTATGCTTGTGTTTGCATGCTAATATCCTCTTTTCAAAAATGAATCATCCATTTTTAAATAGGAGACAAATGTAAACTTCAGATCTTGTGGTTTCGGGTGAAAACCACCAGGGTCACCTACCTAAAGCACCAGCGTCGATCAGGCTCCTGCCCCCCGCCTAGGTCCTTTTGTTTCCCGGAGCGCAGCCTTGTCTTCAGGCAGCGGGGAAGAATCCACTCCATGTCCAAGGTGGTGATTGCACGCTGTGAATAACAATGAATAGCAAACAAAATGGCAAATCATTACAGCCATTTTGCCCACTGAATCATTTAAAGGATTTACAGTGTTTGTTGCAGAAATGGACAGCTTTAACTTTGCCTTTGATTTCACCTGTAGTTTCCAGATGCTGGTGCTCTCTACAGACATCTCCTCCACTCTTTGATTCATCAGAGCGATCAGCATGTTCAGCATCAAAATGTAAGTCATCACTATATACAGAATTAGCAGCACATAGAAGACCTCTATATATTGATATTGATCGGTGAACTCCAGATCTCCCATGCCAATTGTAAACTTAAACAACTCCAGAGTGGTGAAGTAGATGCTCTTGAATGAGGGCTTTTTACAGTTTTCATTTCCATTAATAGGAAGGAAAAAAGACCGTCCCTTACTAGGTCGATCATCAAGGAGAGTTACCACAGCTGTTGATTAAGAAACACACCATTAAAACACATTAAATATTTGAGGAATTTAAAGTTCAAAAGAACACCATTTATTTAAAACATATGTAACAATGTAAGAGTCTTTACTGTCACTTTTGATCAACTCAAGTATTAATTTCTTTCAAACAAAACAAAACTTACTGACCCAAACTTTTAAACAGTAGTGTAATTGGGAAGTGTTTGTTGTGTTGTGATAAACATGAAATTAATTGTAATAAAAAAGCCAAGGACATTGAATGTATGCAAATATACCTGCAGAGAACCCAATGAGGAAGACCATGTACACGACAAGGAATCGACGGATTTCTCCAAGAACCATCTGACAACAATTAAAGAGTGTGAGAGTGTGTCGTACAAACATGAAGTAAAGTCTGAGTTGTAAGGACTAGTCTACATTACAATGAAGCATTAAATGTGTTGCATAGCATTTTTCTATGGCGCTACTCAAAACTTTACTAACACTACTCTGAAGGCCAGAGAAAATGAAGATGTATAAGGACAATTATCCCTCACCTTTTGTATCATGACACTGTAGATTCCCATATTTTTGGACCCTCTGGAGAAGTAGAGTAGATTTACCCAGCTCAAGGCAAGACACAAAACTAGACAGGCCAGATATTCATCATTACCAACGCAGTACAGTAGAGCACAAGCCAGGAAGAGCACGGCCTGCAGAAAACTAATGCAACAAAAAGCCTTATTAGGAGGAGTAAACAATGCATGTATACACTTAATGATTACTGTTTCTAGCATAAAACCCTAGCTAGTAGAATTGTTGGCAAAGACTGTAATTCCAAGCATATTGATCAATAGTAAAAAAAAAATTTAAATAAAAAAAAAGTGTTAATTAATTGTTAATGCAGAAATAAATATTACAGAGTGAAAGCACTTACAAAAGTTGATCGGTGTATCCATCTATGACCAGGGACTGAAATCTTGGACGCTTCCTTAACATATCTATTAACTTAAAAGATAACGGAATTCAGTAATTTCTGTAAAAAAGAAATTTTGTATATGAAAGTTATATATGAATTTGTTTTTAAACCAACAGCATTAGATACATAGCCTACCCCTCTAAAAAAGAAGTAAAGTGCTCCAATGGTAGTTATGATGTGTCCTGTCAGAAGCAGATAGCCTTCGCTGCCTTTTCTATAAGGATATGGAGGCTTTAATGACTGAAAGAAAAGAGTGGGGATCAGTGTTAATTTCGTTGAGGAATAATCTTCGTCATAATTTTCGACATAAGCTAACATGCTGCATGTTGCATAAAACGTTCAAAAATGTCAATATGTGGGAGTAAGCGAAGAGCAGACATATAGATAAATCTGACGACACAAGAGAGAACTTGGTCCGTTTACTGAGCGCACAGACTCTGAAGCGTACACACACACAGAAAGCGCGTCTCACAGAGTGCGAGTAGCCTACTCTCGCTTCGCATGAACGGAGAATTACACAAAATGATGTCGAATTGTCCGTTTTGACGAGTATTCATGTAAACACAGTTGATTACATCTTAAGTAAACGTAAACAGTAGGGAGACCATTTTTGCATATCAATACCACGAGTTTTCGTTTTTATTTGGCGTGCTATTTATACGCACTTTTATGAGATCGGGTTATATCAGTACATTGCATCCATTGCAGCTGTGCATTCGGTTTTAAAGGAATAGTAGCCTAATTTAGTTGCTATTGTCCGAGTCATTACTGTTATTCAAGCAACAACAGAAAGACAGAAAAAGACCATGTTCTTGTTCTTTATGAGAAGTGGTTTTATTTAATTTTAACATAAAGGCATGTTGTGTGTCACCGCAGTTAAATCGGTGTCTATCATGATAAAACCTTAATATCAAACCTATATAATGAGTTTGTAAAATTTAGAGAAATGCTTAATAAATGCACTGTAACTAAACCCGTATATTTAGTCGACTAAAACTAGACTAAAACTAAAAGCAATTCAGATGACTAAAATATGACTAAAACTAAATGGCATTTTAGTCAAAAGACAATGACTAAAACTAAATCAAAATTTGCTGTCAAAATTAACACTGGTGGGGATAAAATAATCAAATAATGAATCATTCAAAAAGACACATTTAAGCATAGGTTTGAATTAGACACTGAACCGGAAAAAGTTCATTGTCTGGTTAATGTCATTATGCATATTTTCTCTCAAATTACTTTTATTATTTTCTCTGTAAATGCAAATGCACGAAATGTAGCTCCGGTGCCGTGAAGCAGCAGAACGTCAAAGGGGCGGGGTTTGAGTCCCCATTTCTCCATCTTTGGGCTGTATACCCTTACGAAAGTTTATTCAAGTGTGCTATTAGTATACTTCTTTTAAACTTAAAAAATAGGAAAGTATACTTTCGGTCTACTTTTTATGTACTTCTCAGACGTGGGCTTTATGTACTTCTCAGAAATATACTTAAAATGACATTTAAGTATACTTGACTTATACTTAGATAATCTGTGTTTTCATTGTTATGGTAGGGGGCGCTATTACACATCTTCTGTACAGAATTTCCACAAAAAAAAACTAAAAGTAACTAGAAAGTGGGCCAATTTAGTCCCAAGGAGTATTGAAATAGTACACTTACAAGTATACTACTAGTACACTGATATTTGTATACTTACTACGTGAAGTATACTTAAAAATATACTTGAACTTTACTTAAGTATACTTAATAAAATAAACTTGAAGTATACTACTTTTGGGTTAGGGTACCTACTTGGTTGTTGTTGTTAAAGTCCTTGCCTGCTTCGCGGTGATAAGCTACTGCAGTTAAGATGAAAAGGTAGATAACATAAACGATAAAGTTGAACAAGAACATCCGTTTTGCAAATCTCTCCCACTTCTCTTCAATTAGTCGGTTAAATGGCTCAATATGGAGCATCTCGAGGCGATTCTGAAATCAGATCAAATAACATGTTGCTATCAACTTTTTTAAAATGAAACATTTTGCTTCAATGGAGTAGTAAAGTCTAATAATACATTTTAGATTCTAGAATGAATTAGTATCACGTTAGTAGCATGTCATCTCACAGGAATCTCACTGCCATAAACGATTATCTCCAGCGCGGAGTTCTTGTCGTAGGTGTCGAGAGAGGCGAGGTCATACAGAGACGAGCACACTGGACCGTAGGCCCACTCCGTGATCTTCCGTGACAGATGTCGGCGCCCCTTAAACTCCCGCTGCACGATGTGCTTTAACAGCTAGTTGACAAGTGAAAATGAAATCTGAAGGCCCTTTACAAGATATACTAATTACAAATGATTGACAAACGTTCTGTTTAGTCCCTTGTCTTTGGCAATGCACTGATTTTAGTAATCAGCCAAGCCAGCAACAGCATCAGATAAAATATAGAACAAAAGCAATACAATAAATAAAAACTTTAGCTTAAAGTAAAGGTTATGACTGTCACTGTACACTACATGACTTATGAAAAATTTGACACTGTTAGGGTGGCACAGTAGTGCTTCTGAAGTAACGTGTGTGTCTTTATACAGACTCTTTTAAAGCTACTCAGAGGTGGCAGAAATGCAGCGATTACAACTGTATACCTTAATACTATAGGAGCTGATGTGGGTCTGAGCTGGCATAATTTAGTCAGGCTTTTATGCAACATTGTGTCTTAACACTGAATTTTGAGCAGGCACAGAGAAGCCTTAACTCCGCTGTGTAAAGATGCCCTATGATGAATCAGTGTGGTGTCTGATTTAATGCCATGTGCTGAAGGGAAATAACATCTCACATCACATGAGGACTAACCATCTACACAAAATCAGGAACATCCAAAAACAGAAAACAGAACTGACACTTAAGAAATACACACTGCTTCAAATAAATATTGCTATTTTGCAAAACATTAATAGTTTGGACATTCAACAATCAGTAAACACCAGAAAAATTCAGGTTTAGGCCTACCCCCAGTTTTCCTTTTTGGGCAGCTAGTGTGAGTGGGGTGAATTCTTCATTATTTTCAATATCCTCCAGCTTGATCTTGGGGTGAAGTTGGTCGGCTTTGATTAAGATGTGGTCATACATGGCGATGACAAACTCTGTGTTTTCAGGACTGTCATCAGCTATGGACACTAATGCGTGAAGCACTGTGTTTCCATGAGAGTCCTTCTCCCTGACATCCACCGCCTGGTAAGGGTTGTTCATAAGGAAGTCCACAATGTCTGGCTGATTAGTGCAAGCGGCCAGTGACAAGGGCAGCTCACCTGTGCACAAAATTTGTAAACAATGCCGGTAAGCCCAGGACCCCACAAAAATGGGTAAGTAACATTGGGAACATTAAGTAGATTTTGAAAATGACTTGCATTTAAAATGCAGCATTTCTACTGTATAAATTATTTCAATATGGCAAAAGTTTAACCATACCCTTAGACCTACCGAAATAGAAGCATGTTTCTTGATTGGGCTGAAAGAATTTCCCACAGGCTTTAGCATGGACATCAGCCCCTTTTTTAACCAGCATCTGTACAAATTTTGCACTTCTCCGTTCAATTGCAACATGTAGTGCTGTCTGACCTGTCTCAAAGAGATCAGTCGATAACATTGTAAAATGGGTATGTTGAACAACCTGTTAAATATGATCAATATTGTGTTGATTTATAAAAAAGAAATTACTAATATAAGGTTTTAGCTCATATATACCTCTGATAATAATTGCGCTAATAAAAACATTATGTAATATGAAGCTATGGCTCTGACCTTTGTAGACACTGTCTGTGTAAGCAGCATTGACAAAATGTTTTAAATCTCCCAATTTCTCTGCAATTTCCAGCAGATGTTCAATAGTGTCATTCTCGCCTTCCCACAAATTTAAAAGTGCTTTCAGCAGGGCTGTCTTTCCATTGGACTTATCTAAAGATGATATAAAAACAGATGTTTCATTATTTAATAAATATCTGTCATGAATTCAAAGTACTCTTCTGTGTATTCTTTGTACACTATACCATTCAAAAGTTTGGGGTCAGTAAGATTTTTTTTTTTTTTTCAAATAAATTAATACTTTTATTCAGCAAGAACACATTAAATTGATCAAAAGTCACGGTTTTCACAGTTTGCACAGTGAGCACTAAATAAGCATATTCGAATTAGAAAATTCAGCTTTGCCATCACAGGAATAAATAAAATTTTAAAATACAAGTTATTTTAAATTGTAATAATGTTTCACAATATTACTGTTTTTACTGTATTTTTGATCAAATAAATGCAGCCTTGGTGAACATAGCAGACTTCTTTCAAAAATCTTACCAACCCCAAACTTTTGAATGGTAGGGTATTTGTTGTTGAATACAATTACATTGAGAGTCGGTGAGCCGTTTCATGTTTTTGTGCAGGTACTGATGTAAACCCTGCAGTTTAGACACATCGCCACTGGACACGGCATCAAACAGCCTCTTGAGGGTAAACCTCTCACTGTCCTGCTGAGCTGGTTCCTCTTTTACTTTTCTGATTCCCCTGTGTGCAGAATGTATCTGATAAAGAAAGGATTTCTCACATTATGTTAATCGTCCACTCTGGTGTGGTTTAAGGAGGCCGGCTTACCTGTCAAAGTGTAGGTTCAATTTAATTGTGTGTGCAGGCTCATCGGTCTCATCCAGGCAATTAGAATCCATGGGCCTCTTGTCCTTTGAGGCACCTTTCTTCATCTGTTTGGCCTTTTCCCTTTGCTCCTGTGTCAGGTCATCTGTCTCCAGGAAGAATGTGGGGCTGCTGTCTCTTGATTTACTCATAGTAATGTCTTCCTAGTCATACAGCAGAAATTAAAGCTGTAGTGATATCATTCACAGATACAGGACATTAGGATTCTATTTCATACAAATAAGGTCTAGGAAATGTGAGCCTGACCACAATTAGCGATTTTACGTTTATAAGCAAATGGGACATTCTTACACTAACTAGCTTTAAAATGAGGAATTGTGCTTAATGATAATTACTAAATGTTTCTTCCTTTGTGACCAGTCAAATTGAGTTTTGATATAATGTAGAATAAGAGCTAGGGCTGTGCGATTAATCGAAATCTAATCGAAATCGCGATTTGAGACGTTGCGATTTCCTAATCGCAAAGCCTGCGATGTGGACGCGATATTACTCTGTTCCAGAGCATATGCATGACTGCCAGCCTTGAGTTGCAGTCTTACTTGCCCTGGGCAAGAGTGAGCGCAATCAATGTAATACTTTAATAATTGACTTAAGAAATACAGTTCTTTATTTATAAAAAATAAACAAATATTTTCTGTGAAATTCAGTAATTAAGTTAATTCTGTAAAAGTAGTTATACCATTATAATCTTGCCTGCTGAAGAAAAAAACAATAGAACCCCTCCCAAAACACAATACAAAATGTAATGGATTTCAGGGTTATAATGGGAATTGTATTGGTTTTAATGTAACCTATAATGAGGTGTCTATTTGATGGATTCTATTGGTGGGATGTAATCTGGCAGATGGCAACCAATAGAACAACAGTAATTCCTATTTTGTAAATTTTTGTAATGGTTTAATGGAAACTATAAGGATTTCTGTGATGGTTTCTATTGTTTTTTTCAGCAGGGTAATGATACCCATACTGTGCTGCACATTATTGACAATATTGAGCTGAAGCTTGACTTTGCAAATTTAAAATCGCAAATCAAATCGCAATCGCAATATCGGTCAAAAAAATCGCAATTTGATATTTTCCCCCAAATCGCACAGCCCTAATAAGAGCTGCTTTTGTAAGAGTAGAAGCTGCTTGATTGTTATAATGGATCATCACATTTCAACATTCTAGTTTTAAACACCACTAAAAGAGGAAGCGGTCACAAATGATCCAAATGGAAACTCTTTGACAGTTTGTCACGGTACCCTGCTGCGGGAAGAACGTAGGAGACAGGGAGTGGCATTCACAGTCTTTAATGATGAAAACACGGGATAATCCACAATAGGAGCTGGGCAAACACACGTAGAAACAAGTAGACCTGACAAACACAAACTGAACAGACTAGGACTTTTAAACACAGGGCAATCAGGGGAACACAGGTGACATCAATGGAACATAATCAAACTAGACGAGGACAGGAACATGACCAAATAAGGAAACACAGGAAGGACTACGGGGGCAAAACGGGTCCAAAAGTCTGACATTTCACCCCCTCTCCGAAGGTGCGTCCTCACACCATAACAACAACAGAGGGAGGCATAGGTGGGAGCTTGGGAGGAGGCTCAGGAGGAGGACGGACACCCGGGAGGGAGCCGGCAGACGGAGACCAGGGAGGCGACAAAGGAGGGAGGAGACAGGAGGGGCTTGGAGCAGGAGGAGCCCAGCTGG